TTTCAAATTTAAAAAATCTATGAAAAAGAAAATTTGAGACAAATTTTTTTTTTAGATTAATAGACTCCCTTTTTAAAACTGAATTGAATGGTGGTGGGTTTTTTAAAAATCCAATGTGTGGATCACATGATATTTCAAAATTTTTAACTTTTGAGTATAGATGATCCGCACTGTAACTTTTTACAAAAGATTACTATGGGAGAAACTCGTAAACTGTGGACGAAGTTTTAAGCTGTGGTTAAGTTGTCAAACCTATGAGCAAAAGTTTTATATTGTGATAAATAAAACGGACTTATTGAAGTGCCGTCCAATCGTATGCCGTACATGTGACCTATAATAGTCTCTTTCGTATTAATAATATTCGTATTCTTTATTAACATTTATTCGCATTTTTTATTATTTACATTTAATTATTTATTTTTATATGTTAATTACAAAGATTAATTTTAAGAGAAAAGATTATGATTATCGTCACTTTTGACCAAATTCGTTTGTAATAATAATAATAATTATAATAAACATTTTATAATTTAATAAATAATAAAACAAATTAATTCTTAATAAAACAGCATTAGTAGGGTTTAATTGTTAAGTTTCACCAATTTCGCCAAAATTTTTCATTCTTTTGTGAGACCCAGCTTTCTTCTTAAGGTGTCTGCTAGTGCTTATTGATCCATTATCCATTGCTTTAAATTGGGCCTAGTGTTCCATGTTGCAATCCAAAAAAGGAAACAAAATGGTCGTAAAGGTGGTTGCAACCAGTGGTTGCAATCATTTTTATATGACGCAAAGGTGGTAGCAACCATCATCAAAAGTTGCAGCCGGTATCCTTAATTGGGCCATTAAAAATATGTCTTGTTCTGATTTAGAAAGAGCTTGAAAGGATTCCCTTAACTCTGCAAATTGTTCTTTGAGAATTCTTGAAGAACAACCACATTTACAATCTTTTTCTAAAAAATTGATTGCCTTTTCATATTTGTTAGATCCATTATGGTTACTATTTACATTATTACTTTTTGTATACACCTATCCCTATATATAATTTTATAATTTTATGTTCACTTTACAGGAAATTGAAAATTAATCACAATAGATTTTTAAAGAGTTTATATTAATTACCAAATTAAAAGAACTTGAACTACTGTAATTTCTTTATTTATTATTCAGTTTCATCTAAAAAAAAACTATTTAATAAAAAAATATTATTATCACAATCAAACAGTATTAAAGTACAAATGTGTAACCATATTATTAATAATGAAAGGTTACAAGTATTAAAAACTATATTCTCCATTCACAGTTATTCAATCCTTCATCCCATTGAGTTTGTACAGTTATCATAAATATCATGCTTTCAAATACTTTTCAATTGTCAACTCAAGGAGATCACTATCATATATTTGCTTGATTGGTTGGTTGATTTTAACACCAAAGGGCCATGAAATATCAGGATTAAGACATGGTGGGTACCTCGCTGCTTCTTTTTTTCCTCCCTAATCAAAATCTATAATTTTTACTTGTATGTTACCATCTTCATTTTTTTCCTCTTCCTACTTATAAAGAATATTACACTCCTGTAAATCACCATGAACCAATCCTTCACTGTGCATCTCCTGAACTGCATCCTTGATTTTCTTCTGAAGCTTCATTTTTGATTTGCTTCAAGTGGAGGATCTGTCAATGATTTGTAGTCTGAAAGATATTCCATTGTCACCATTTTCCAATCACAGTTAATGTTCTCATACCCATAGACCTTTGGAGCAATACCTTTATCTGCACAAAACTTATGCACATCCAACCCATAGCTTGTAACAAATTTTACAACTAACAATTTTGGGATATCACTGCAATCATTATTCATTGTTTCAAAAAATATACAAATTTACCTCCAGTTAACTTTTCTTCATATTTAAATGACATTTCACATTCACCATCAAGCAACTTAAATGAAGTAATATAAGGAAATTTCAATGGTACTGCCTGAGTGGGAGAAGCATAGTATTCTTTTAACAACTGAACAGCTTTTTTAAGAGCAAGCAATATCCTTCCAATTATTTGTGTTCCCTTTGGTCAGTAGATTCAAAGCAGTCTAGTGAAATTTCTGTTAGGCCTTCAATTAAATAATTTCCATTATAAAAAGCACCAGCAATCCTAAGGTGAGATGCTGACAAAAAGAAACAAATAAAATTAGTCAAAATATGAACCAAATGCACATGCATAAGAATTTATTGATACTGACCAGTCAGACATAAAAGAAGACATGGTAAATGTGTTTTTCATGCATAACCTTCTTCTAAGCTTTGGATAAATCTCCAATAATATCCACAAGCTTGTTTAAATGCATTACCAGCATTGTCATTTTTAACCTCAAGAACAACAGGCACAAAATTTTTTTGAAAGATACAGCCATTAGTGATGGTCACCAAAACTATTTTGAAGAGATGAAAGTCAAAACTAAAATTAAAAGTTATATGTCAAAACTAGTTTCAACTTATGGCAAAACCTTTTGACTTTTGTACGGTTGCGAAGCTCTCTAGTTTTGCTATAAATAACATCCCCATAATTTTTTTAAAAATGAAAATTTCAAATTTTGTGATGAGTGGTAAAAAATATGTAAATTCTGTTAAGTCAAAGTCACGTGATATGATCGATAAATTTCTCATTCAGTCATTATTTTTTGCTGATTTTGGTGAGATATCACCAATACTTTAGTTACATCGGTGACTAAAAGTCAAAAGTTTCATCATCATACAACCCACAGGTAAAAAAAATCAAATTTTCCTAGGTAAATATATATATATACATATTAATATATTTTAAAAATTTTTGCGCACACTAAAACCTAAAAATTTTATTAGATCATCTTTCTATTGTAACCGATAATTTTGTTCCACACCAAAATTCATAAATATTTCTTAATGTCTTTGAAATTAACAGCATTTCGTTTATTATCACCTACAATTGGTGGTATTCGTGGTAATTAATTTATTAAAATTCATTGATTTTTTTAGACATTTATTTATGTTGATTGGAATTCTTATCTTTATAAATAGGTTTTTCACAACGAACATTTTTTGCTTTCCGAATGAATCAATTTGTAAATTTACAAAGTAATTTCAAAAGGTTATCATCAGCTCATAATAGCAATAACATCAACAACATTAATAATAATACAACATCAAAATCACCAACATCGACAAAAAATATAATTTCAGTAAATAATACACAACAAACAGACCCATTTGTATTACAACCTGAAAGTAATACGCAATATAATTTCAATACATATAAAGTGGTTAAGGATTTGGAAGGTCAAGGGTTAACTAGAGGACAAGCAAACTCAATAATGAGATGCATGGAAGCAGTATTAATCAATAGGTTCGATAGCAATTAAATTTAAATTCTCTTAAAAAAATCATTATTATAATTATGGCTATTATTAGTATTATTTATTTACTACTTTATAATAGAAATTATTTGAAATTTTAGCCTCAAGATTAGATCAGAGTTATTATCCAAAGTAGAACTAGAAAATGTAAGGAATGGATATTGAACAGAATACGAGAGAAGGATAATGGGAAAGAATAATACGAAGGAAGAGATTCCATTCATTTCTTTCTCTATTCTTTCATGTCATTTAATAACAATTTCTATATCCTCAAATGTCACAAAATACAAATAGGAAACATATCATTATAAAGCAGAATTAACAGATTTTCGGATAGAATTAGAAGTAAGTCGAAAGAAAAATCAAACGGCATTGATGGCAGAAATTGCTTCGATACAAAGAGATGTTTCATCACTAGGACAAAAGCTTCAAGATGATATAGCAAATATGAATAGCAATATTCAAAATGATATTAATATGCGTAAAGATCAAGTAAGATCTCAAGAGAATAAAATGGCAATAGCTATCCAAGAAGTTAATAATAAATTCATTATTGCATCTGGTGATATAAGAACTAGAATTGAAGCTGTAAAATGGGAAATGACTAGATTAGTATTTAGTAAGTAACATTAGTCAATTATTATTTATTATATTCTTATTTATAATTTACTAATGTAAATAAAATATTTAATAAATAGTGGGAGTATTTGGGATTTCGGTGGTTGGATTATTTATATGGTTTTTCTTATCAAATAGAAAATCAACAAAAAATTCAGCATCTTCACCTTCAACATCTGCTACCACCACTACTGATAATGAAAATTTTAAACCTTAATAATTAAATTTCATCATTTATTTATTCTTGTTTATTTCCCAAATTCGGTGTGATAATTAATATAATTACATAACATATCTTTAACCAAATTTAACGTTAGTAACTTTATTTTCTTTATCAATATGAACGTTCAATCTATTTTCATAAATTTAAATATAAATTAGCATAATCATATAATTATGTAATGTGTAAATGCTACTCCTTTCACTGACCTTTCAGGAACAAAATTCATGATGTAAAACGTATCTGGTCCTATAACACGGTGATTTTTAGGTAAATCTTCTATTTTAAAAACCTATTCATAATAATTGTGAGTTGAATGGTATGACCGACTATTGATAATATAACAATTATTAATAATAAAGTAATTTACATTTGAATCGTCTGTAGCTGCAACTTCACCAGAAGAAACTAATTTCTTTCCAATTAATTTTTGATGCCATTCTTCGATTGAAGTACTTTCTGCCATTTTTAATATTATTAGCAAGAAATAGAATAATATACGTATAAATTTTAATGTCATTAATCTTCCACTTGATATTAAGGGTAGAATATATATGTAACGTAAATTTTATACAGTTAATGTTTAAATGTAGATCTTCAATTGATTGACCAATGAAATTTATTTGTGTGACATCATAATATTAGTAATTCACAAAAGGGATCTGCAAGTATATATGACGTCGTTAGAAAATGGGTTCGATTCATTTAATTGCACTTGTCACCAGACAATGAAGAACACCTTCAAAGACTATGAAACTTTCTTGTCCCAAATGATTACAACACAAACGTTCACTTCCTTTACTTGCCGGTGCTACAAAAATGATAACTGAATTGGGTATGTATGTGAAACCCATTATTCTGCAAGGTATTAGGCTATGGGATTTCAGTAGAACTTTATACTTGGAGTTGGCAAAACTATACCTTGCTTGAGCAGAGGGAGAAGACTAAATTGTTTCTTAAATAACAAGATTTGAAATTTCTTATTTGTATCCTCTTTTCTAATGCGATTGACTCGTTTTCTAGGCAGTCTGTGCTATATATATGAATCACAAGATTCAAGAGTTCAATCATTTAACTTTATAATGGTTCTACTGAAACTAAATGAAATGTGAGAAGTAATGATGTGACTAGAAACTCTTAAGTTTAGGGCTTAGAGTAGGTTTTCTACAGAAACTGTTTAGAAAATTCAAAAGGCTTAGGGCCATAGCATTGATTGAATATGGAACTAAAACATGGCTGTTGAGAAAAAGAATTGCAAATTCTAATGAATTTGAAGTAGGAATGAATCCATGATACATTTTATTTGGAACCTGAACTCAAGCTGTAGATTATCCAAAGGATTTGCTCAGCTATCTCCAATGATCTTTTACTCGCAAAGCTTAGCAAAGTGAAAACTAGAAAACATCTTGCCTGCTGTTAATAATCAGGATTATTGTCCTGAGAATGTACAAAACTTATTTCACTACCGAAATGGCGAATTCTGCATTTAGCCATGCTAAATTAGGGAGTTTTTTTCAGCCAAGTCGTGATCTCAGTAGCTTGTTTGTTTTCTAATGTTGTGGCAAATTGTCTGTTAATAATATGGAAGAACCATGTGGCTACGGGTATTAAATAAGGGTTTATTGTAATCCTTTTTAATTTACTACGATTATTAAATATGTGAATCAATCAATTCTTCTAAATAATTCTGTTGGATTGCTAAGCCCATAATATATAATCTTTTAAGATTTATTTCATTGTTTTTAATAAAATTTGATAAATCTGATCTAAATGGCCCATAATAAATTTTCTCATAGTTTCAATACTTGGAAGTATGATTGATTTTAAATTTTTATTTTATTAATAGCACCGTTAATTTGTGGTGGGGTGTTGACATTATGCCAATGTTTATTTAGTATAGAAGAATAAAGTGTATTATAATATATATTTAAATGTTTCAATAAAAGTTCAAGTGGCAAATTTCAGTTCAAACAATCATAATCGGGCGCTTATTTCATGGCACAAATGATATTTCTTTTGGAGGTAATTTTTATTATGAGAGCTAATGTTTATGAATAATAAAAACTTGGGCAATAGTCAATCTTAGAATACAAGGTATTCTCATCCAATCTGTTCCTTAATAACATAAAAAAAAATTTTTTATTATAGTTTACAAAAAAATATTTAAAATACAAGTTAAAAATTTTAAATCATACAAGAAGTTGTAATTTTTCTGCAATTGCAAGTTGTGTACGTGTCAAATTTGCAAGATAGTCGACCATCAATAAATCCTAAAAATATTTTATCGTTTAGCAAAAAAATTCTTTTGTAAAATAAAACCATAAATGAAAACAAGATGAACCTGTAAATGGCTGTAGAACATTTTTTCAAATTCTTTTTTATCTATAGTTGGAACAACTGAAATTGAATCCATCAAAAATCTTCCGATTGTACTATTTGGCAGAACACTCCCATCCTATAAAAAAAGCATTCATTCATTTAATATATACAACTAACCGTTATATTATATATAATTGTTTTTTTAAAAAAAAAAGACATGCCAAAACTTTATTTGTATAATTTATAATTCTTTCCAACATATCTTGTACAGATAATAAAGTCTTCTCAATATTATCCATGTCTGAAATTAAAGATGTTGAACGATTTACATCATCCTTGGCAGATGCAAGAAGATTAACTAAAAAAAAGTTTTTAAATATGGTAAATACACTGGGAAAAAGGAAAAAAATAATAATAATTCAAAAATTTAGTTTTTTGTTACATACGTCCACTTTTCTCGGCATCAAAATATTTAACGTCACATGGAACAGGTAAAAACAAACAATTTTCTGGTTTCGCTGAAATACCAATTGGTGCACTAAAAAATAAATAAATAAAATGCTTGTTTAAAAAAAAAACCATATAAAATAATCATCACATACATGTATATATACACACGTATTTAGTTTATTTAGTTTATTACCTTACATAGGTTTTGACGCCCAAGAGTTTTTCTTCATTTTTAATATCTGTGTCCATTGTCAAATGAATTGCTTGAAATGGTACTGACACTTCTTTTGAATAAAAATCATGTATTAAGGCATTCCATTGATTAAGATTAGAACCTGTAGCATACCATCCAACAATAACTTCTTTTGCATTTACTTTTTTATGTAGCTCGAACATATTTTGATGATATTCCATATCAACTGCTACCTATTTTTTATATTAAAAAAGCCACAACTTATTAATACATTATTTAAATTAACATAATGAAAAGCAAGCTTTTTTTTTACCTGATTAAGAGTTTCATTGTGTGGGACGGGAAAACAGTTGCGAACTTCTACTTCACTGCCATCCTCATTTCTTACTCCTAACAAGGTACCTATAACCCTATGTTGTTCTCTTTGTCTTCTTAAATAATGATCGAGAATGGAAAAAAACACTACCGGATGCACTGAAACTGTAAAAGAACGACTTTGAGGAACTATAAATCCTGGAGCCGATGATGTAGGTGGGAACGATAAATTTAAAGCTGAGGTTGCCGCGTCAATTGGCATTTTTATTTATTTTTTTATTAAAAAAATTTTTTTTTTATATTTTTATATTTGATGGACAATTTTGATTATCCAATTATTATTAAAGATCGGATTATACATTTTTTTTGACAAAAAAAAATTCTGAAATAAAAAATGTCGAAACGAAGTAAAAAAAAAGTTGAAATAGATTCTCCAGTTTTGCCAAAGACACAATTTGGTAAAATAACACACAAAAATGAAATATCAACCGGTGACGAAGGCATGGGAGAATTTGAAGATCCTTGGGAAGACGAATTTGAGTCTGAAGAAGAAATAGCAAGAGACGAAGACGAAGAGGAAGAGGAGGAAGATGGAGAAAATGATAATGAAAAAAATTGTATTGTTTATAATCAATTTTCTAAACACACACACATATATAAAAAGAAATTAAATTGAATTATACATGTATATTTAGCAATGGAAGTTGATGAAAAAATATTGGAACGTCGAATTTATCTTCCTGGACAAAAATTAGAGAAAGACGAAGTTCTTGAAGCTGATCAATCGGTATATGAAATGCTGCATTCCATGAGTGTTAAATGGCCATGTCTAAGTTTTGATATTTTGCATGATAACTTGGGAGAAGATAGAAAAATGGTGTGCACGCATGTTTACAATTTTACTTTTAAAGATGATTCTTTTACATGATATTAATTATATAATATAATTTAATTAAATACAGTATCCAGCAACAGTATATCTTGTTGGAGGAACACAGGCAGATAAACCAAAAAATAATGAATTAATGATAATGAAAATATCTCAATTACATAAAACACGAAACAGTAATAAAAATTTTTATTAATGTCCTTCTTTCACCTTTATAAATGATAATAACGATAATAACTAGTAAAATTAATTGTTTCTTTTGTTTATTATATTATTAGATCATAATTCTGATGATGATTCTGATGATGATGATAATGATGATGACGATGATACATTTGATGAAGATCCTATCTTGGAACATAAGAGCCTAAAACATTATGGAGGTGTAAATCGCGTTAGGGTACATACATGCACACATACACATATAAAGTTATATATTTTATAATAATATCAAACATTAAATCAATGGTTTGTTTTATAGGCTATGCCACAAGAACATAGTTCTATTGTAGCTACTTGGTCAGATACTGGTAAAGTTCATATATGGGACATAAAGCCAGCATTAGATAGCATAGAAATAGCTGGTAAACAAATACCATCAAATGCATCAAAGCCATTATACACAGTGGAAACTCATAGTGCTGAGGGATTTGCCATGGACTGGTCACGGACTGTAACTGGAAGGTATATTAATATTATAAAATATTAAAATCTATTCCGTTTTTTTAAATAAAAATTCATGGGAGGTTTTGAACATTTTATTTTTACTATAATTTTAAAAGATTAATAACTGGTGATATGCGTTCAAATATATATCTTACAACGAAGTCTCAATCCACATTTAAAGCAGATTTCGTGCCGTTTGTAGGACACACGGCATCGGTAGAAGACTTACAATGGTCGCCATCAGAAAATAGCGTGTTTGCGAGTGCGTCTGTTGATAAAACAATAAGAATATGGGATATAAGAAAAAAGAAAGATGCTTTATGTGTTAAAGCACATGATACAGATGTTAATGTCATTACTTGGAATAGGTTTGAAATTTAAAAATTTGATACTTGAAAAATTGTTATGTCAACTATGATTACAATTTATAATTTAAAATTAAATTCTTTTACTTTTTAGAAAAGTTGAATACTTAATTGCGTCTGGATCAGATGATGGTATTATAAGCATATGGGATTTACGAACATTTGTAAAGTAAGTATATGATAAATAACATGTATATGCATGAAATTACATTTATCATTTATGTGAATTATTAATTTATTGTTTAAATTCGATAATAAGCAATAATACAAAACCTATACCAGTTGCATCATTCAAATGGCATTCAGCCCCAATTACTTCAATTGAATGGCATCCAACAGAAGAATCAGTATTGGGTGTATCTGGAGCCGATGAACAAATAACCATATGGGATCTTTCAGTTGAAAATGACCCCGAAGAAGATTCTTCAAACAAAATTGTTGGCAACAATGGTGTCACTATTCCTTCACAATTATTATTTATTCATCAGGTAAACTTATTATTATTATTATTATTATTATTATTATTATTATTATTATTATTATTATTGTTATTATTATTATTATTATTATTATTATTATTATTATTACTGTTGTTATTGTTGTTGTTATTGTTATCATTGTTGTTTTTATCATTGTTATTATAGTGTGATATTTTGACAATGACAATAGTTGGACCTTTATTATCACATCGCTTATGAAATTCCGAAGGATCCTTCAAACCATCTCTTAAACCACTCAATAACAGTTTAAAGGTATAAGGCATCTCACTTGGTTGATATCGATGACTATCATCTCTACGATCTATCCACGATGCGATTCTACAAAAATGTTTCCAACCAATTATATTTGACTCGTTATTGGTTATACCAAACATTCTAGGTGGCAGCATCATTGAATGCGTTGGATTTCTATTTGCTATATAGAAATTCTTTAGATCATTTTTCAATTCTTTTGTTAAAATTTTCTTGAAAGGTCTGATCTTATCCTGATAATCTGACCCCGATATTTGAAAGAACCTAATGTGCGGTAAACAATTTTTTAGTATTTGCTCAAATATTTGGAAATCTTCTAACGCCCATTCTGAAACATCCCTCCTACTACTATCATCGTTATTATTAATACTCTTATTATTATTACTAATGGTACTACTAATATTACTAATATTGCTACTATTACTACTTGTGCTATTAATACTATTGTTATTACCGTTATTACAAATGAAAGGCTCTTGTGCAAGTCCCCATTTAATCACCTGATCCCAAACTTCGATTTCCTCAATTTCCAAATCATCTCGTCTAATCAATTCCACCAATGCTTGTTCCTCCAATAGTACGCTATCCTCCGATTTCAAGATTGCCGCAGGATCATTATCAATAATTTCTTGGCAAAATGCATGGAGTTTTGCGCAAGCTTGATGTTTTGAGGTTAGTTGATGAATCTGTACCAGGTTTTGATTTATCCAATCGACTTCATTCTTGATTATATAGCCTTGAATATAATCTATCAATTCCAACAATGCTAATTCATCAGCTGCTATCAATAAATTTAAGTATTCCGATCTTGATTTATCATCATTTAATGTAATATCACCTGTGTACAAATACCTAATTAATAATATTGAAGGGATTTATTGTAAGTTGTTTATATATACTTTTTTACAAAAAATTTGTTATTATTATTATAAATATTGTTTATATATATATACCTTAGTATAATATCAAATATGTAAGGAGAGATGTTTGGTTTTTGTAATAACATGATTTCACCCTCTTTTCTAACCTCTTTTCTAACCCAACTTGGAGATAAAGCCACTTTGAAATAGGGTGATCTGGCTCGTAGTATCACAGAATGAGCTTTAAAAGTTTGAAAGTTTGGTTCTTGTCCAACTTGAATTAAAACATTGTGATCGTCAGCAGTTGAATATAATAATGATACATCTTTTAATAACAATTTTTCTAATTCATTTTTATTCGTCATTTTTATAAATTATTTCTTGATAATTGTAATGTTCTCCGATATATATAATATAAAGTTTTAAGCTGTGGTTAAGTTGTCAAACCTATGAGCAAAAGTTTTATATTGTGATAAATAAAACGGACTTATTGAAGTGCCGTCCAATCGTATGCCGTACATGTGACCTATAATAGTCTCTTTCGTATTAATAATATTCGTATTCTTTATTAACATTTATTCGCATTTTTTATTATTTACATTTAATTATTTATTTTTATATGTTAATTACAAAGATTAATTTTAAGAGAAAAGATTATGATTATCGTCACTTTTGACCAAATTCGTTTGTAATAATAATAATAATTATAATAAACATTTTATAATTTAATAAATAATAAAACAAATTAATTCTTAATAAAACAGCATTAGTAGGGTTTAATTGTTAAGTTTCACCAATTTCGCCAAAATTTTTCATGGGCGAAGTTAGACCTAATCAAAATTGCCTGAATACCTAAACTATAGGTCAGTTCCGGTCACCATCTCTAGTCTTTTGCCTTAAATTATGTCTTGTATCATGAATTACGTCTTGTATCATGAATTACGTCTTGAATCACGAATTGCGTCATGCATCATGATTTGTGATTTGTGTCATGCACAACACCAATTACAGCCTTTAAACCAATATAATTGTTTCGCTTTCCATATTGAGTTAATAAATTAGGTGAATAAAATATATGCAAATCGCAAAATGTTTGTATCTCTTTAGTTGAAGGTTTTGATTGAATTTTTATTTATATAGTTTATATATATATATATATTTGTTTTTTTTTAAAAAAGTTTATAATTGATGTTACAACACATTAATTAGAGCATCTTATACCCCACTGAGTGATCTCTTCGTATAAGAGGGCATTCCTTCCGAAGCTGAAGGAGTTATTTCTTCTGTTCCAGATGATGTCTTGGAGTGGGGAAAATCTCCCAAAGGAAATTTTCAACTTTAGGAGTATTTCTCGGTTTAAAAGCTTCCACAAGGTCACTGATATCTTCTTCATCTACATCCTCCCTTTCATGACCATCAAAATAAACACCTTGATGATGTGTTTGATGCTTATAACCCAAAATTATCAACCAATGTCATGCAGTACTTAAGCTAATTAAAGCCTTTGCAGCCCAAATTCAGCAAGGAGAGACTCACCAACAAAGTTCTTAAACATTGTAAGTGTGGTTTTGCCATTGTTAAATCTTAACTAAGAATAATTGAAAAAACGAAATTCATATTTATCACCAAGGATCTTTTGATGAAATTGACAGCAAATCAAATCAGATGTTTACGACACTTGCCAATCACCAAATAATAAATTTTTAGTGACGATTAATTCATATACATATATTGATTTGTTTTTAATATAGTGCAAACATTCCATCAACTTTTAACAAGGGTGGTGAAGGACAAATTGCTGATCGTATGTAATTATCCAAAGTACACTTTTTGAGAACTTGAGGTTTTAATAATTTTATTATTTTGCCTGTAGTGCTATGCGTGACACTTTATCATCATATCCTGATTTTATATAGCCATTCAATATGTATATTAATATTGGGTATTTACCATGGTAATTATTCTCACTTCTTTTTATCATGGTGATAACACATTATAAGTTCTTTCTTGATTGTCTTTTAAAAACATGAACCATTGTAAAGATTTTTAGGTTATAAATATATATTGAAGTTATAGACAAATGTAGATAAATTTATAATTTTATTTTCAATAAAGTATGATTACTATTAAATCGCGCGTATTACGTCCCGTGATTTATCGGCCAATCAGAATGTTTGAAACAATAAAAAAAGTCACGAAATTACAAGGTCTATATAATGATAAAAATGCTCCAACTTTAAAAATTACACAACGATAGAAGCAGTTCTGAAACGGTTCTTCGTAATAAATATCACCAAACATAAGTGTGACCAATCGGCTAGTGTAAAAACAATTGAAATAATTTGTTACACAATTCGAATGTCCACCTGCTCAATAATAATAATAATAATGGAGAAAGAACTTCATTTTCATCAGTTTACTTTTTTTAGTTTTGAAATTCATGTGTCTTTAAAGGATCATCAATTTTAGTGGTGGCTTTAGATGACCTGCACAAAAGCCGTAAATATTTTATTATTGTTATTATTATTACTATTACTATTATTATTACTATCGCTATCTCTCTATTACTATTTACTGTTGCCATTACTTACTATTACTCTTTCAGAAAAAATGTGCACCATAATAACCATAATAATAACAATAACAATAATAATATATAAATGCGATTATTCGTTATGTCGTGTAACCTATATAATAACAATCAATCGATAAAAAAAAACTTTATCATCATCAAAAAGCAATTAATTAATCCAGAACTTTACAGCCACAGCTTAAAAACTTTATATTATATATATCGGAGAACATTACAATTATCAAGAAATAATTTATAAAAATGACGAATAAAAATGAATTAGAAAAATTGTTATTAAAAGATGTATCATTATTATATTCAACTGCTGACGATCACAATGTTTTAATTCAAGTTGGACAAGAACCAAACTTTCAAACTTTTAAAGCTCATTCTGTGATACTACGAGCCAGATCACCCTATTTCAAAGTGGCTTTATCTCCAAGTTGGGTTAGAAAAGAGGTTAGAAAAGAGGGTGAAATCATGTTATTACAAAAACCAAACATCTCTCCTTACATATTTGATATTATACTAAGGTATATATATATAAACAATATTTATAATAATAATAACAAATTTTTTGTAAAAAAGTATATATAAACAACTTACAATAAATCCCTTCAATATTATTAATTAGGTATTTGTACACAGGTGATATTACATTAAATGATGATAAATCAAGATCGGAATACTTAAATTTATTGATAGCAGCTGATGAATTAGCATTGTTGGAATTGATAGATTATATTCAAGGCTATATAATCAAGAATGAAGTCGATTGGATAAATCAAAACCTGGTACAGATTCATCAACTAACCTCAAAACATCAAGCTTGCGCAAAACTCCATGCATTTTGCCAAGAAATTATTGATAATGATCCTGCGGCAATCTTGAAATCGGAGGATAGCGTACTATTGGAGGAACAAGCATTGGTGGAATTGATTAGACGAGATGATTTGGAAATTGAGGAAATCGAAGTTTGGGATCAGGTGATTAAATGGGGACTTGCACAAGAGCCTTTCATTTGTAATAACGGTAATAACAATAGTATTAATAGCACAAGTAGTAATAGTAGCAATATTAGTAATATTAGTAGTACCATTAGTAATAATAATAAGAGTATTAATAATAACGATGATAGTAGTAGGAGGGATGTTTCAGAATGGGCGTTAGAAGATTTCCAAATATTTGAGCAAATACTAAAAAATTGTTTACCGCACATTAGGTTCTTTCAAATATCGGGGTCAGATTATCAGGATAAGATCAGACCTTTCAAGAAAATTTTAACAAAAGAATTGAAAAATGATCTAAAGAATTTCTATATAGCAAATAGAAATCCAACGCATTCAATGATGCTGCCACCTAGAATGTTTGGTATAACCAATAACGAGTCAAATATAATTGGTTGGAAACATTTTTGTAGAATCGCATCGTGGATAGATCGTAGAGATGATAGTCATCGATATCAACCAAGTGAGATGCCTTATACCTTTAAACTGTTATTGAGTGGTTTAAGA